TCCCGGTGGCGCAGTTCGCATGCGTCTCCCCCGTCCAGACAGCTCCACCGAAGGTCCCAGGTCGCGCAATTCGAATGCGTCCCCCAAGCCCAGTACAGCGCTTCGAGGCCCCATAGGGAGCTCAGCCGAAGGTCTTAGGTGGCGCAGTCCGCATGCGTCTCCCCCACCCGGTGCTGCGTTTGGTGGCCCATAGGGAGCTCCACGGATGACGATGCCCACAACTGCAGTATGGTTGGTTTCTTCACTGGGATATTTCCCCCAACCATCCTGTGGTGTTGGGTCCTCGTTTTGAAGAGACAGCGCCCCGCGTCCCTCCTCCTTCCTTCCTCCTCCCTCTCCTCCCTCCTCCCTGTGTTGCCCCCACCCAGTGCAGCGTTTCGTGGCTCCAGAGGTAGCTCCACCGAAGGTCCCAGTGGCGCGGTCCGCATGCGCCCTTCAACCCAGTACAGCGTTTCGTGGCCCCATGGGGAGCTCCAGCGAAGGTCCCAGCGGCGCAGTCCGCATGCGTCCTCCCCGACCAGTGCAGCGTTTCGTGGCCCCAGGGGGAGCGCAACCGAAGACCTCCCCCCACCCAGTACATCGTTTCGTGGCCCCAGGCGGAGCTCCACCGAGCGCAGTTCGCATGCGTCCCCCCCACCCAGTACAGCGTTTCGTGGCCCCCAGGGGAGCTCCACCGAGTGGCGCAGTTCGCGTGTGCCCCTCCCGCCCAGTATAACGTTTCGTGGCCTCATATGGAGCTCCACCGAAGGTCCCAATAGCGCAATCCGCCTACGTCCCTCCCCCACCCAGTACAGCGTGCCGTGGCCCCAGAGGGAGCTCCACCGAAGGTCCCCGTGGCGCAGTTCGCATGCGTCCCCCTCGCCCAGTGCAGCGTTTCGTGGCCCCATGGGGAGCTCCACCGAAGGTCCCAATGGCGCAGTTCGTATGCGTCCCCCCCGCCCAGTGCAACGTTTCTTGGCCCCATACGGAGCTCCACCAAAGGTCCCAGGTGGCGCAGTTCGAATGCGTTTCACCTACCCAGTACGGCGTTTCGTGGCCCATAGGGAGCTCCACGGAAGACGATACCCACAACTGCAGTACTCACAGCTGCATATGGGTCCGTTCTTCGGCAGGCAAATTTTTTGAAACGGCGCGAGTATGTCTGAGAAGACTGCAAATAATCTGTTTTTGTTTCATCCCCTGGCCTGGTGACCTTGACCCGGCCTGGACGCAGAAGAACACGTATTAAATTCAAAAAACATCGGGGTCCCGAGGCCGGGCGCAACCACTCCAGTCCCGACGGCGCGGGAGAATGCGGACGAGAAGTTTGAGGATTGAACGCAAGGCAAGTTCTGAGAAACCACGACTGGAACCCTGTGGGCCTCATCTTTCTGCGGCGCTTCCGCGGCGGCGCGCGCAAGCGGGGGTGGGCGCGGGGGGAGCGGCCCGAGAAGGCAAGGGGGCCTATTTGAGGGCGGGGCCTTCGTGGAAGGCCCGGGGACTTCTTGAAGTGGCCCTGGGACACACAAATGGATAGACACAAGTCCCAGGATTCCCAATATTGTTAAATATTTTCCGGTTTTTTTTTGTCTTCCCCCCTTCTTATATTTTCCCATATTTCCCTGGGGATCGACGATTAATTGTGTCTGTGTGTGTTTTCCCCCTCCTGATTCTAAGCAGCCTCCCTGGGAAAAAGCCATGCCTTCTGAGAACCACTCCGCCGTGAAGGCCGCTCCACCGCGCCACCCCCCGGTGCGCGCCCGCCAGGCTCTGGTTGGATCGGTCCGTGAAGGCCCCACGAGCCCCTGGACTGTCGGGCAGAGCTGGGATGCAACACCGGTCCGGGAGAGGGGTCCAGACCTTCGGAGGTCCGCGTTATCAACGTGGGCCACTGCCCAAGGGCAGGCTTCTCAGGCCACAGCTCGGGCCTCTGGCGACCGTTCGGGACGATTCGGGCACCCCCAGAACGCCGTCGGCGAGGACGGGCTGCTCGAAAGCATCCCGAGGCTGGAGAGCCTCTGCGACGACCTGACTTCTTCAGTCCGCGGAGACTCGCAGCTCAGAACTCCCAACCCCTTCCCCAGGGGTATTTTTTCGTCCCCGGTCCGTTTTTGATGGTCCGGGCCCGATAACGCGCCCCAGGGGCCGAAATCGAGGAATGACGCCGGGATTGAACACATCGTATCGTCGGAGATCTGGGCACTCCGAAGGGACGCTGCACTTCGAAGAACAAACAATGACATAAACATGAATTTTCGGAAATACGCACGGATTTCCGGAATCGGGGCTGGACCCCCATCCCTGGCGCGCGGAGCGCGCCAGGGGCGGCGCAGGAGGTGCCGCCTTGAGGCTCCAGCGCAGATCCGAGAAATCCGCGCGGACCTCCGTAATCTGACATTTATGTCATTGTTTATTGCTCGAATCATATGAGGTGCTACGAGAAGGGGGGACTGGCTCAGGGGGGGAACATCGACCTGGACTCGGCGATACATTGCCAATAGATCGCCGATCGGCCCCCGATAGCGAACTTCCTGGGCGGGGTGAGGCTATCAAACCCCTATCGGCGATCAATGGGCGATTGGGGGTCGATGCATTCCCCCATGAGCCCATCCTGTCATTGCCCCTGATTGGGGAAATCGAAAAAAAACGATACCCCGACTCCCCGGACCTCTCCCGGGGTGGGTTCAGACCGGCATTTCGAGGCGAATCCAGCGGTGGAGACGAGGGCCTCCAAGGAGGCCCGCAGGGGGGAAAGCGAGGGGAGGGTAGAGGTATGGGCACCTCCTCCTCCTGCGACGGATCCTACCGTCGGAAACCCGGGGACGCCGACGGGACGCTGCAGTGCACGCCGACCCCGCAGCGGTCGCCCGCACGCCGGGCGCCTGCTGCGCAGCGGCCTGCGGCGCCCGCCCCGGGGCCGCCAGGGCGGCTGCTGGCGCTGGCCAGGCCTGTGGCGGCGAGGCCCGGGGGGCCGCCGCTCTTCGGGCGCCGGCAGGCTCACCCGCACGGGCTTCGGCGGCGAGCCCAAGGGGGGGAAGGCAGAGGGGGCGGGCCCCGCCCTCTCCTCCTCCTCCTCCCCTCCTCCTCCCTCTCCTCCTCCTCCTCCTCCTCCTCCTCCTCCTCCTCCTCCTCCTCCTCCTCCTCCTCCTCTGCACTGCACCGTCGTAGCCTTGCACGCGCCGGCCCGCGCAGGCAGCCGGGAGGCCGTGAGGCCACCGTTCTTTCGGCGAAGACCAAGAGGTCCACGGGATGGAGGTCGACCGTGGCGTCAGAACGCGAGGCGTCGGTTCGCAAGTCCTGGAGATGTCCGCCCAGGGTACGTCGCCTTGATGTTGGACAAGGGAGTGTCCTGCCTTCTTGCCCTGGCGGAGGGGGCGTGCTGGCCGCGCCTGGCATTAGGACGCAAATCCCGTTGTCGTGCTCGGGTTACGTCGCCAGTTTTGTAAATCCTGGGGATGGCCTCCCAGGTTCAGTCGCGGTTTTGCCTAAGGATTCGCATGGCAACTCATCGCCGATTTCGTGGCCTCCGAGTTCATGCTGAACGTCTTCGAGGGTGAGTTCAACTGCATCAGGTACGGCAACTGCGGCAGCTGCGCGTTCTGGTGCAAGGACGCCAGACCACGGCAGCGAGTAAGGCTCCGACGGCAGCAACGACTGGGACATCGGCGACTCCCACGTCAGGCTCGGTCGCGAGCAAGGAGGGCCCCACCTCCGCTGCTTTTCCGTGGGCAGTCACCCCGTCTCAACGTCACGGCGAAGATCAGCAGGCTGCCCACGAAGGCCCGCCCTCGGGCACCTCTGCGTCTCGAGAGGTGGCCCTCGAAGAGGCTGAGGTCGCTCCTTGGAGCCCTTCGCCTTCGGCGGCCTCAAGGACATCGGGGGAACCTATTCTTACAGAGCGCAAAGAAGAATGCCGACGATTCCGACGGGAAGAGCGCGTTGGCGGCTTTGAAGGATATGCGTACGACGGACAAGAAGCTGCTGCGGTTGTGGGTGGGACAATTGTGGCCAAGGTACACAACACCGAAGGAAGACAGGACCCGGAAGTACGTGCTATCTTTTACGGACTTCGTAGCGCACGCGTTTCTGGAGGCGGTGGTGTGCATATTGTCTAGGGACGATCCTGCCAAAGCTATGGTTATCGACTTGGCGCGGGGCTTTCAGACCAACGACGAGCAGAACTTGCGCGGTGTATTGAACGTCCAAACCTCGGGGTGGTGGCGGCGCCAAGGGCGGCCGCGGCCGCAAACGATGTTGCCGTCGGTGCCTGGCCCCAGGACGGAGGCGACATTCGCCAGCCCTGGGGCCAGAACGACGGCAGCCCCGAGGGCAGGGGCCACTGGCCCCTGGGAGGCCGCAGCCTCGCATCCGGCAGCTTTCGTGGCTACGAGTTCGTCTCGAGTGATCCTTGCTATGGTGCAGTTTTGCATGGCTGTGGTCTTCGCCTCGGTGCGCTGCCCACCCTGCCGTTCTTCGTCGGCAGCGGCTTCGACCAATACCTTCAAGATGTCACGGGGGTCCTCATTTTTGGGGCGAGGGCGGTGTCTGGCCTTGGCTTCGGCTCTGGTCCAGGGGTGGCCCTCGCTCCCACCTTCATCTACAAGGTGGTGTTCAAGGAGGACCTCGAGAGATACCACATCTTACACACAGGACATCAGGGACTTTGAATGGAAAGATGGCAGCGACAGGTCCAAGGGCAGGGACAAATGCTCCGGGGGCAAGGTCTACTTCGTCAAGATGGGGAATGTGCGTGTTTACCGACGGTGCCGCCGCCTCTTCCAATTTTTCCGAGTGCAAGCGAAACGGTTGGGCGGTGGTCGAGTTAGACGGTGATCGTTGGCCATGTCGAGCGAGATACGCAATAATGCCTGGTCGCAACCAGTCGGTGCCCTACGCCGAGCGCTTCGCCGCAAACCAAGCCCTCAACATGGCCGAACAACCAGCGGTCATTATCACGGACCACCTCTCGTTGGGACAGGCTATCGGGTCCGCAAGGGAAGCACGCTGGCCTGTGGCGGCAGATGAAGCAGCTGAGTGCAGGATGCAGGCCACAGTTCATCTGGCAAGGCTCGAACCTCACCGTGGGCGAAGCTGTTGATGGAGGATGTGATCTATTTCGCTGGCTGGGAAATCAGTGGGCAGATGTCTTTGCGGGCCTGGGCAGAGACGACGTGACCCTCGCGGAGAGCTTCGTAAAGGACTGCCAATTGAAGTTCGAGTGCGCGGTGGACGCCATCCAGATGCTGGGTCAGCTGGTGCAGAGGGATGCACAGTGGGCCAGCAAACTTGAGTTTCAGCAGATTCCGAAGGTCAGCCAAGCGTCGGCACCAACAATGGCCATCGAATCCACAACTTCTGGCACGACCCTTCGTCTGGTGCCTCGCCTGGTGCTGAGTGGCGGTGCCGTAATTGCAATGCGGTGGCCAGGACGGACCGTGCTCTACGCAGCCTGCGGACCAATGAGAAGTTCAAGAGGTGCGAGCCGGCGCAGGTGCTGAGCTGGGAGGCCGGCTCTTTCTTCCAAGCTCACCCTGAGCTCGTGCCCGCCAATGCGTCGCAGGCGGTGCTCGTCGAGTCCAAGCCCAGTGTCCCTGGGGCGATCCTCCATTTTTGTGAATTGGGTCATGCGCCTGTGACGTTCGGGCCGATCACGATCTGCAAGAAGTGCGCTCGGTAGTGTATCAGCGGTGGCAGGATCATAGGCTTGGCGACATCTTGCCCAGGCCAAACTCGGGACCCGAAAACGCTCTTGTCGCAGAAGAGGGTCATTAAGCTCGCGATGGACCAACGCCACCCAAAGTCTTCGAGGTGCTGCTCTGATGAGGCTCTCGTGGGCGAGAGGGATGACGTCGACACCAACGATGACGTGCTCGACTGTGGCAACAGCAGATCGAGAACGGCGAGCAACGGCGGTGCCGGTGAATGCGTGTGCGCGGAGGTGTTGATCGCCGTGCACGGTCGCTAACTCTGACAAGGCCGCGGCCGTGGCCGCAGCCGCCGTGTGCGGTGCCGAGCCTCGTGTCCGCCGAGGGGTGCGACAGGAAACACCATGCGTTTCTTAGAATTGGGCCCAACCGACTTCGCGCGAGGCGGCGCGCGTCGTCCTCCATGTCCTTGTCCTTCTCCTCACCTTCCCTCCCCATCCTCCTTATCAGAACGCTCCTCATCTCCACCTCCCAATCGGGTCACACTTGGTCTTCTTGTCTGGCCACACCCCAACTTCGTGCACTCTAGATGGTAAAGCGACACTATCGGATCCATTTAGGGGAAAAAAACGTTGATTTTGCACAACATCTTCGTGTCGGTTACACCACACCCCACCTTCGTGCAATGTTCATTACTAGGCAATGGTAGAGAACCTTTGAATCCACCGGCCCCCTTGCGGGGCATCAGGCTGCGAGGATGAGGATTGCACCTCCCTGTTCCAAATGCAGTTTCAAATCTCCACTGTGACCGTCCTGATTTCTGCTTCCTTACTCGTAATTGCTGCTGAGCGCGCGAGGGGGGGAGCCGAAAAGCGTCCTGCTTAGCACCCCCGAATCGCGTGCTCTGAATTCCAGGGGGGTCGTGGGACACATACCGGAGATTCGCACCCCCGAAGCCAGAGTCCCTGTGTAAATTACACCATATTCGCGTCCTTTTAGCGGTAGCCGCGTCCCCGAAGCCATAAACCCTTGTGAAGTAATCAATATTCGCGCTCCCGCAGCCATACACCCTCGTAAATTATAAAATGTTCGCGCTCCCGAAGCCATAAACCATCGCAAATGACGCGAAGATTCGCGCCCCAGAAGCCAGAATCGTTCGTAGACTATGCGATGCTCGTTTCCCGAAGCCATACACCTCTGTAAATGACGCAATATTCGCATCCCCGAAGTCAGACACTCTTATAGATTAAATGAGATTCGCGTCTCCGAAGCCGTAACCCTTAAATTATTAAAAATCTGCGTCCCCGAAGCCACAAACTTATTACATAACGCAATCGTTGCGTCCCCGAGGCCATAAACCAGCGTAACTTACGCAATGGTCGCGTCCCCGAAACCACAAACCTTAATACATTACGCCGTGTGTGCGTTCCCGAAGCCATAGACCCGCGTAAATTATGCACAATTCGCGTCATAACCCTTTGCAAATTACACAATACTCGCGTCCCCGAGGCCATATTCTGTCGTAAATTATACGGTGTCTGCGTTCCCGAAGCCATACGCCCTGGCAAAGTATACAATATTCGCGTCTCCGAAACAACGAACCCTTGAAATCACATAATATGCGCATCCCCGAGAGCATAAGCCTTGATACATTACACGATATTCGCGCCCCCGAAACTATCCTTGTAATTACGGAATACTTGCGCCCCTGAAGACATACACCTTTGATAATTCTTGAATATTCGCGCCCCCAGGGCCATGAACTCGCACAAATTACACCGCACTTGCGTCCCCGAGGCCACAAGCTCTGGTAAAGTATTAAAGATTCGTGTCCTCGAGGCCATAAGCTCTCGTAAATTACACAATACCCGCGCCCCCGAGGCCATAATCGTTTGTAAAGTATGCCGTGTCGGCGTCCCCGATGCCAAACACCCGACTAAATTACACAATATGCACGTTCCCGAAGACATTAACCACAATGAATTACCAAACAATCGCGCCACCGAAGCTGTAAACATTCGTACAAAGATATTGGCCCTCGCGTGAAGTCCCGGCATTGCTTCGCGTCAGCGTCCAAACATCCCATCACAGCTCTGGCACGTCCCATTCTAAGGGAAGGGGGCCGGCAACATGGGGGCGAAGCCCTTACGGATAAGAGAAATAGGAAACGGGTAGTTTCACACCTCAACTTCGTGTCGCAGCAATTCTGGCATGGTTCCAATCGAACTGCAAGGGATTATTGGGGTAAAACCTTTCCAATTGTCCACCAAGACGGCTAAGACTCGGGCCGACGCCGTTGCCGAACCCCCAGGATCCCTCAAGTTTATGTTTTTTGTTTGCTGGTGTACGGGTTTTCTTTGTGGTTCCTGTTGTATGGGTTCTATTACTGTTCTCTGTTTGTTGACTTTCTTGGTGCATTGTATTGTAACGCTTCGGAACTTTGAATCGCTCCTATTGTAATGATGGTTGTTTATATACCGCCTCATAAGGGTGGTTGTTCAGATTTGAACTGTTGTTCGTTTTCATTGTCAACTCTTAGTTTGTGTTTGCCGTCCCAGGCTCTTCTTCTAGTGTGCTTCCATTGCCCCCCCCCCAAGCGTTGTGTTTGTTTGTTGCTTTGTGTTTTGCAGACGTTCCAAATGCTTTGTCGTGTATGTTTGATGTTTCTGACATCCCAAACCTTTTTTTCATATTGGTTGTTTGTTTGTGAAGGTCGCAGAAGGTTTGGCGGCAAAGAAACGAACACAAACGCACACCACGAGAAGTCACTCCAATAGACACAGCGAGACGATCCATACGACAATACATCACACCTTTGTGTACGATTATTTTGTATATCGTGTATAGCGGATGGTAACAATAACGTAAGCAGAAATTGTACTTCCACACTTCGCCTTCGTGTCGCCTAAGAAATATATTGTATTCCTATTGCATTCGAACTCTAGTGCATTCGAATGTTATTGTATTCCTATTGTGCTACCCCTATTGCATTCGAATGCTATTGTGTTCCTTCTGGTTTCGAATTGTTTGTATTCCTATGATATTCGAATATAGTTTATTTCTGTTGTGTTCGGATTATATCGTAACTATCCCCGGATCCGAACCCGAGTCCGAACCCTTATCCTTACCCATTCATTCTGAGGAAACAGGAGGTGAGTTGTGACCCTCCCAATCCCCGTCGTTCGTCGTCATCGTCCTCCTTCTCCTCCTCCTTCTCTTCATTGTCGTCCTCCGTTGCATTGCGGCTCAAGTTGGGAACGTGCACTATTCGAGCGGGCAGCTCTCCACAGAGGGCGATATGCGTGTCGATCGCAAGCGGGCGCGTCTACATTCCTGGCTCGACTCACTTGCTTGCGGGGGCGCAGGCGGACGCATGTTTGTTCAAGTTCCCGATTGGACTGGGGTGACTCCCACCCCCACTTCTCCTCACGAGATCCGAGGCAAACGACGCGGTCTAAATGGGGATCTCCAGGACGGCGTGTGATGAGAATGAGGAGGGGGAAGAAGACGAGGTCGAGAGAGCGATGCTATTTGCATCCTGTACACGTGCAACATCAATTCTCGCTCTCACACATTTGCTCGCGACATCATCTGAACATCTTAGCGCGCAGCGCAATATCAGACTGAATGGACCGAACCACTTTACACTGTCCCTGGATCTCTGAATGGCTGGAGGGGGGGTCCGTGGTGTGACCATCTCCTCATCCCAGTCTCCTCTACATCCTTTCCATCCCCTCCTCTGCCCTGCATCACGATTGTCTCCGATGGGGTCGCGGGCACGCGAAGTCTTTTTTTTTGCGCGCGCGCGAACCCATCGATGAATCGATCGTGGTTAACCGCAGGCTGGACTGGCCCTCTCCCGATCTGCCTCCGACGAGGGCCGAGCGCAGACCACATCGGCCCCCGTGGGAGGAGGAGGAGGAGGAGGAGGAGGAGGAGGAGGAGGAGGAGGAGGACGAGGAGGAGGAGGGGGAGGAGGAGGAGGAGGAGGAGGAGGCGGAGGCGGAAGAGGAGGAGGGAGGAGGAGGAGGGGGGGCCCTCTTCCGATCTGCCTCGGACGAGGGCGGAGCGCAGAGCACATCGGCCCCCGTGCGAGCGGCTGCACCACCGCGCGAGGGCGGACGGCGCCTGGGCCGGGGCCGGCACCGCTGCCGCCGCAGGAGGCGGCGGCGCCTGGGCCGGGGCCGGCACTGCCAGGGCTGTCGCCACGGCCGCCGCGGCAACGGGCGTCCTCACCGCGCGGGCGCGCTCCGTTGAGCATCGTCTAACCGATTCCTATCCCCCCCTGGCGTGGCCTGGGCCCCACTGGCCGATTTACACTCCTGGATGGGGATGTAAGCTGTTCCTCTCGAGTTTCGAAAGGCAAATCCCAAACTGGGATGGTGAGTGGTGGGGATCGGGATGGGGATGGGGATACGGATCGGTTAAGTGATCGATTTTTATCCTCCGGGGTAACGGTCGTTACCCAGGGGGGGGTCGGGCGGGAGGGTAATGGTAACAGCGGCCGCGGCGTGCACTCGCCAGGGTGCGTCCGCACCATCGGCGCATCAATCGCCCGTGTGCACCACAGTCCCTGCGTACAAGACAATGCCCAATGCCTGCGTGCAACACACCGCCGTCTGTGTACACCGCAGTGCCTCTGTACACCATAACAGCCGCGTGCAACGCAACACCATGTCGCCTGTGTGCACCACAGTGCCTGTGTAAACTGCAGCAGCCGTGTGCGCGACAACGACTGCACACCTCGTTGCCTGCGTGCACCACGGCGCCTGTGTACACCACAGCGCTTGTGTACACCACAACATCCATGCGTACCGCAGTGCCTACGCACGCCACAATGCCTCCGTGCACCACAACGCTAGAGTACACCAGAACGCCAAACGTGCCAACGAGCACATTAGTAGCTTGCGAGACCTTCTTGCAGCGCTCGACACAGACCACGGAGGCCCTTCAGGACTCGTAATTTATCTCCTCCTCCTCCTCCACCTTCTCATCGTCCTCCTCCTGCACCTCCTCCTCCCTGTCCTCTTCC